CCCCACTTAAATGTCGCCAACACTCCCCTCCCAGGGCTCGAACTCGGGTTCATGACTATGTCATGCCCAAGCCTTTACCACTTCACTTACTTTGTTAGCTAAAATTTGTGATCCATCAAAATGGCATCATATGCAACAATTACCCACTAAACACTAGCCAGGTAAGAGTCATCACTTTTATTTAGAAGGTAAGAAGACTCTTGATCCTTACGTGTAAGATTCTCGATTCTTGTTATGTTCACCCAGTAAGGCAATATGACTTGTTAGTACTTGGTAAACGACTCCTTAATCTTCCAGTAACAAATTTTCTCTAAAATTTAATATTAGATCATAGGAAAAAAGAACAAAAAAAGTTGTGTGTGTATCATTGGATCTTTAAATTTATGTAATATTATATTTCGGCCCCCCAGACTACAACGGTCATGTTGTGCCCCTGGATGCAAGGTAAGTAGTTGTAACTTTTCGTGCTTAATGAAGACAAGGTGAATTACAGTTGGTGTGCCAAAAACGTCGTTGTCGTGTATGATGTTTGCGTATGGGCTGTTCATCGCATAAAGCTCGTGCTAGCTAGTTTACTTCGTACTATTTTCCCCTACTTTTAAGATGGAAGGACAAAATCAAATTTTCTTTTGGTGAATTAATTCGATATTAAGTGATAGAAGTGGTACTTTCATTTCTGGCACCACAAGTTCATGGAGAATTCTGTTAATTATGTAATCTAGACTTGATATATATAGATTGGCAAACGTTCAAACAAGAATATTAATTATTTAAGAAAACAAGAAAAATATTATTAATATACAAAATTACATGTGATTTTATATTAACGTTAATAAAATGGAAGCGGGCGACTTTCAAACCTGTATGATCTTATACGTGAATATATATATATGTGTGTGTGTGTGTGTGTGTGTGTGTGTGAATCATATATGATCTTGTACATTAACGACATTTTTCTTATTTTCTTAAATAGTTACTGTTCTTGTTTGAATCTCCTAGAGAGATAAAGAGAGGTGGTCCCCTTCCTTTGTTAACCAAATAAATAGTACAAACTTTGTTAAGTGAGTGATTTACATCTTCTTCATTAAATATTTTATTTACTTAATTATTACATTCCATGATTATTACATTACTTAATTATCTTATCCGCTTAATGATTACATTCCTTAATTGACTATCAAACTCGTCAACGTTTCCGGCGGCCCTATCCGTCGGACACAGAGTTTCCAGCGGACAATGCCATCGGAAAATGAGACGCCAATGATTAATTTTCTGGCAAATTGTTTGGTTTTTCGGCTGAAAATGGCCGTCGGAAATTTTCCCCGGGTCTATTTAAAAATCCTTAAATTAAATTAAAAAAATATTAACGAGTTCTAAAAAAATTAATTAAATTACCGGCGAAATTCAATTTTATTTTTAATATAATTATTGTTATTTCTTAAATATTCCTGGCGGATGTATCTGTAAGAAATTTATTTTATATTTTGTTAAAATTATTATTTTTAGAATAATTATTTTTATTCTTTAATTATTTGCGGTGGAATTATCTGTCTAAAATTTATTTCATATTTTTTTAAAATTATTATTTTTAAAATAATTTTCCAGTAAAAATTTAGAACCTGTCAAAGACCTTCCAGCCTAGTGGTAAGGCTTGGGCATGGCATAGTCATGAACCCGAGTTCGAGTCCTAAGAGGGGAGTGTTGGCGACATTTAAGTGGGGTCATGCTTTGCCTCCAAAAATTGCCGGGGATTAGTCGGGATTTGGCCCGGACACCCTTCCAAAAAAAAAATTAGAACCTGTATTAAAAACCTAAAAATCTGTAAATATTAAAAAAATTAAAAAAATGAAATGCTGATAAATATCATACATTAAAATAAATAACAATTATTCCAACCAATTTAAAGTAGCACATAATTGTTAGAAACAAAAACTAAATTGTTTCAAACAAGCATATATTCAATACGGTGACGGGGGAAAATGTTGAGATTGACTGAGGAGTCTGACCATGCAATGCAGTCATATCTTCAAGTTATTTATCTCGTCTCTCATCCAACACCCATCGACGCTCCTCTTCATCCGTCCCTCGTCACTCCTCCTTTGCCCTAAAACGCTAATTTTATTCCTGTGAATCTCTAACTTCAGCTTTTAAAACTTCAATTTCCTATAAAATAAAGAAAATGCTATAATATTTAATACAAATTATATACTAAATCGATAAAAATCATCAAAGAAAAAGATGCACACACTCGACTCTATGAAGACGATGGACCACCGTGTGTGTAGTTCTCAGTCAATACCCAATTGGGATCCTGGTTGTACCTAAACCCAAATAGACGATGGTGGTGGTGGTCGTGGTCGTCATCGTCGTCGTCGTCGTCGTGGTAGTGTTGGTGTTCGTGGTTTTGGTGTTGTTCGTGGTCGTGGTGGTGTTCGTGGTCATGGTGGTGTTCATAGTCGTCGTGGTGGTCGTCGTTGTGGTCATGGTTGTGGTCATGAGGGTCGTAGTGGTCATGGTCGTGGTGGTCGTCGTCGTCGACGTGGTGGTCGTGGTCGTCACCGTGGTCGTGTTCGTGGTGGTCGTCGTTGTCGTTGTGGTGGTCGTGGTCGTCATAGTCGTCGTTGTGGTCGTGGTGGTCGTGGTCGTGGTCGTGGTCATGGTGGTTGTCGTGACCGTGGTCGTGGTGGTACAATCCGTGAAAAACTTTAATTCTTTATTTTAATAAAAAAAAATTCATAAAATTGTTTAATATGATAAAATTATTTCAAATAATTCATTTATTGATGAAAATGTTTCATATATTTTTGTTCTTATGTAAAAATTAAATTATTTCATGTATTTCTCGATTTTGATGAAATTTATTTACTAAAATTACTCGAATAAATATAATAATGTTCATAATTATTTGAAATGAATTATTTGAAACAATTTCATCATATTTGAAACAATTTCATCATATTAAACAATTTCATGAAATTTTTTCACTAAAATAAACGGTGAAATCGATGGTTTTCACGGTTTGTACAAAATATCTCTCCCTTACACACACATACACACACACACACATATATATAGGTTTAAAAGAAAACCTCAAAATAGTGAAAAACTGAGGAAAATCTTAGTAACTATTTATCTGAATGGTATGCACATGTTGATATAAATAATTGAAGTTGTTTCTTGATTTTGTGCGCGTGTGCATGTTATGCATATGTGCATACTGGAAAATTTTCTTCCAAATTATTTGTATACACTAGAAGAGTACTCGCGCAATGCAGTGAGACACATCTCGATTTTAATGTTCAATTTTATTATTTGTCTCCGTCGATGTTATAATACGATTTTATGTTTTTAAGAAAACAACAATGATTTTACTTTTGAAAAAAATATAAATTTGAAGATATCATAAAAATTTGAAACAAAATATATCAATGTTAATATATCAAATCAACTATTTAAAAGTTATCATTTTTTAAGTAATTTTTTTATTATAATTTAATTTAAGTTTAATAA